GAGAAAATTATTTTTTTATGACAAAAGCTTAAGAAGGATCATGTACTATGGAACTAGACAAAGAATGGCCAATACTTCGACAAATTAGGTTATTGGTTTCTACTCAAACAGAAAATCTGGAAGCTCAAAATAATGCCGATGTTAAAGCTATTTTTATAGAAAATCCTGTCCGAAGCTATTGGTAATGCTACAAGATTACATAGTCGGGAATTACTATCAATGATACATGTATCAGATGTGGTATAGAACCTGGAAAAATTCATCACCTTCTTTTTACATGCCCCGTTTCCACATCAACATGGAGATTATCAAAAACTCCATTAAACTTCTTAACTATTCCTTCCCAAGATACAAAAACAATAATAAACTTGATCCTTGATTCCCAAGCCTTACCTCGACTTTTGGATATTGACAAGTTACTGCCATTTTGGATTATGTAGAGAATATGAAAATCTAGGAACAATTTAATTTTCCAAAAACAGAAAATAAAAGTCGGTAAGGATATCAACAAGTCATTAGCAAATATAACATAATGGGTATCATCAAATGATACACCTACCAAACTGGTTCAGACTTCTAGTCCTAAGACTTCTATTATGATGCCGTGTTTAATATGCAAAATCAAAGGAGTACAACTGGTTGGATTGTTCGAGACAGTGTTGATATTGGGGATCCGCAGACTTAGGCACAACAACAACATGCCTTAAAACTGAAGGAAAAGCATTATTAATCTCTCTACAAAATGTCTGGAGTATAGGATATACAAATATTTGTTTAGAAAGAGACTGCCAAATTTTAGTAAATCTTCTTCAAAATCAAGACCAAGATATAAATGTCTCTATACTTGATGATATTAGAGTTTGGATAAGTAAATTTCAATATATTGATGTAACTGATGTTAAAAAGGAATATAATGAAGGTGTTCATCATTTAGCTAAACAGGGTTCGACATATGGATTTTTTATTTATTTTGGGATTAGCTTACAAACACTTTAGTTCTAAAGAATATATTGTATCTATAATTTCTTTTCATTCCTTATGTTTGATACAAGGTTTTTGTGGTCCTTATGTCAATCACCCCTTGTACTTAATCAGTTGTAGTATAAGGGTTTTATGTCAATCCAAGGGGTTTTAGTTGAATAGCAGAAGAGTTGCAAGCAGAAATCCTTAAGTCAAGTGAAACATGAAGAGTTTTTGTTGCAAAGCAACCAAACTAACAACCTAAGATGATCAAACACCAATAGAACTCAAAGAGAACACTTAGCAATGATCACATAAAGTAAAACAGAGCAAATAAACAGAACACTTAAACAGATTCGAAATTCAGACAAAGAGATGATAAGTTCCTAGAGTGGTTATTGATTTTGGGGAATTCAAAGACTAACTAAGGTTGTTTCAAGCATAATTGATCAAGCAAACAAGCTAGCAATGCTGGTTCCTAGACATAGAGTTCACAAACAAGCAAGCTAAGATCAATCCCTTGATAAATAGCCCTTTGCTAAACACTTTAACAAGAACTAACTCTCATTAGTGCTAAAACATTCAACAAGCATTAGGAATCAACTCTATTCATATCAATATACTCCTCAAACAGTCACTCTCTTGAGCTAAGGCCAGTAAATCCTCTATTGAACAAGATCAACATTTCATCAAACACTTGGTGGGCATAAGAGAAAGCCTAATTCTAGATAAGTGTGATCAAGAAAAATCTAGCTTAAGAACAGATCAATAGAGATGAACCTATGTTATTAAGCACTAAACAAACCTTAATCAATCCCTAATCTACCACATCTAAGAACCCTTAGCAAACAACTCACTAATAGCCATGTTTAACACCAAATCACAAGGAGAAAAGATGCTAATCATGATTAAAAGAGAAATTAAGAAAAGATAAAGGCAAATACAAACTTATATTAAATAAAGCAAGAAATTTGTCTTAGAAGCTCAAAAAAATCACTCAAGAACAGTAAACTGACATGACCTCTCGAAAATCCCTTAAAATAGAGTATTTATACTGAAGGAATAAAGCCCTAAAAGTAATGGCAGTTTTGTAAATAAAAGCAGCTTTGGACTGGGATCCTATCGGTGAGAATGTAACCGATAGGGTGATCGATAGGCCTGCTATCGGTCTAGAAGGTGACCGATAGGGTGACCGAAATCTATTTGATGCATTTCTATCGGTCACTTCTTTGACCGATAGCTTGATCGATAGCTTCTCTATTGGTCACTCCTTAACTGCTAGCCTTCGTGTCTTGAGCGATAGGGCTTGTAGAAATCATCTGCCTTGGTTCCTCTTGCTCCATTTCAGCTCAGCTAGCTTCCTGGTCCACTCCCAAAGCTCCTCCATGCTCCTCTTAGCTCCATAAGCACCTAAAAACATCCTTGATGCAAAGAAAATACAAACTATATCCTAAAAGCAACCTTAGTCTAAAAGGAGAAGAAAATGGGACAAAAGATAAGGAAAACATGCAAAAGAGAACAAAAACATGCACTAAATGCAAGCCTAAATGATGTAAATGCATGAGCTATCAATGTTTTAAGGAACTATAATGTAACGATTCATGATAAATATATATGATTTCAAAAAACGAAAAGAAAATTAGAGTTAATTATATTGGAAGACACTTTATGTCTTTCCAATTACACTTAAATGCACTTATGAAGGAATGTGTACTTTGGCCACACAAAAAGACCAAAAGATCCTCCAACTCCATCCTCTTCCCCATCGTCTCCCTCTCTGTTATGTCACTCGGTGCTGTCATCACCACAGTCAATCCTATTAACACTTCAACTCAACACGCACAAAGTTCACAGGAGAAAAAAAGCAGGGATTTATGGGGACGAAAGAGAACGATATTGATGAGAAGAAACCGGGTCGGGTCATCGACGGACCCACAAACCCGGTGGTCACGCCTCTGCTCTACGATCTTTACCAATTCACCATGTCTTATGCTTACTGGACAGCTGGCAAACAATCCGAATGATCTGTGTTTGTTCTCTCTCTCTCTTTCTTTCTTATCAAAAAATCTCAATGCTTTTTTGATCCTCGAGATACTTAAAAGTATAAACTTTTCTTCGTTTTCAAAATTCTCAGGTTTGATTTTCGTAAGAATCCATTTGGTGGAGAGTACACTATCTTTGATTAGAGATGCAATAGGTTGGACAATCATGGTTCTTCCCAAATTCGAGATGGCTCAGGTTCTCTCGGCGACGGAGATCCACCTGTCTTTACACCTTCCCCTTGTGCCACCGATGTTAATCTTATGACACATTGTGATGGACGAACACTCACAGACGGATTCTCATGGATATACTGTGATGGACAAACACTCATTGACAGATTCTCATGGACACAACATATAAACACAATCTCTTCGATACATACTATATCAAAACCTGTGATTATAGACATTAAAGCATGGACATGCTGATATGGATATTAGGCTGTGCCGTCGTAGATATGAATTTATGGATACTAAGTCGTGGATATAAATTCACAGATATAAAGGCATGAATAAGAGGTTGCAGACATGATCGATTGGAGAAAATAACATGTATATAAAGATGATTCCTAAAGATATGCTTGTTATGTGTATTCATTCAAACTTGATGCCCAACTTTATAAAGATGTTATTGTTTTTTTGGTAGAACTTTTTCAAACCCTAATATTGTCCACTAAAAACAAGTTAAGATATAGTCGTGATTGAAGAAGTCTCGGTGAAGAAATTTATCCAAGAAATTTGAGGCTCAAGCTCTTTTGGTGTCTCTCTTCCTTCTCCTTCTCTTCATCTTCCTCTTCATATGAAACTTGTACATAACTGCAGAAACAACAAATATATTTCAATAACTGAATATACAGTGTTGAAATTCAACAAAACAGTTACAGCAAAAGAGATCCAACTCCCGACCAACTCAAACCTAGAATCAATATTCATACACAATGACCTGACCATGGATATTGCATAAAGTTTTGATTTTCTCTACCCTACAACGTATGGACACAATCTCCTAGCCACGCCATTCCATCCATAAAGTTTGACAGATTCCAAACACCAGCAATACTATCCATCACACGGTATGGACATCAAAATGTGGACAACATAGTCTAGTATGGACACCAGACTCTATTATTATACGCCTATCCACTTGATTTCATCCCCAAATATTTTTACAGATTTCAAACACTACCACTAATCCCCATCACACCGTCGTAACGAACATGTAGCGACACACCAGCTTCCCTCCAAAAATAAAGTCTTGCTTCGTTGATTTATACCCTCTTTGTCAACCCTTACTCTCCGTCCGTACATCACCCACCAGCGCAAAATTATATTAACGCCTTTCCCTAATACTCAAGCTCAACGAAATTCTCCAACACGGCTGAATCCGCCGCTCAGCAATTGGCTCTAGCTAAGCAAAATTATATCGCAAAATCATAGTTGTACTGCTGCCTCCCTTTATTTTACCTGAAGAAGTTTTGATAACTTTTGAATAAGGGTATTTTAGGATTTCTAAAAGTTATTTTCTAAATAAAATAAAACAAAAAGTGCAAATGGTTATCATTAGAAAAATTAGTAGAATAGAGATTAGTAGAATAAAAATTAATAAAATAGAAATGGTACAGGAATAAATTTTTTCCACTCATTCCTCTTAACAAATTCAGTTATTTTTGATGGAATAAGTTGAATTGTTTTCCACTTTTTTGTAAATAGTAACATATTAAAGAAATATCCAATTCCACCATATTTTATTCCGCTAGTTGTGCATCCATTTGCACTCAAAATCTCTCACTAATCGTAAACTGGCCAGTCTGGCCTACTTTAGCATGTGAAACAATTTTGACCCTGAGTTTTACATTAGAGAAACTTAAGTAGGCCAGTTTACGATTATGACCATGTTATGACCCAATGGGCCGATATTCACAAAAAGCCTTTACGATTAATATCTTCTTCCCAAAACGTCTTTAGGGTTTCAGCCACCACCGGACACAGAAGTGAGAGAAGGAGAGAAAAATGCCGGCGGGACACGGAGTGAGGGCGAGAACAAGGGATCTCTTCGCGAGACCGTTCAGGAAGAAGGGTTACATCCCACTCTCCACCTACCTGAGGACCTTCAAGGTCGGCGATTACGTCGATGTTAAGGTTAATGGAGCTATTCACAAGGGTATGCCTCACAAGTTCTACCATGGACGCACTGGTCGAATCTGGAACGTCACCAAGCGCGCCGTTGGTGTCGAAGTCAACAAGCAGGTTTGAGATTTGTTGATTGTTTGAGTTCTTATTATTGATTGTTGATTTACTGATTGTATGCTCTCGCTTAGATTTGGAAAATGTACGATTTTGTAGTGGTTCTCTTAAGATTTATGACTATTTGTATCATTGTTGATTCCTGAACTAGATTTGGAACAGATTGTGGTTCTTTGCTATGCGTAAATTGGTCTTTGAGCTCTCGGTTAGATTTTGAAAATGTACGATTATTTGTATTGGTTGTGATACATCACTATTTGAAAGATTGTTGGTTATTGAATTTAGATTTATAACAGATTGTTATTCTTTGCTATGTGTATATTAGTTTTTGTTTAGCTATCTATCCAAAATGTTGAAATTGTCTGTTTTATATTCATTCATAGTGGATACTAGCTTAATCTCTTGAGTCTATTTAACATCTTGATCTTAAAGAGATCTTTCTCGATTTAAAGCTGTGAAATGTTGGATCTTTTTCAGCTTCTTGCTTAGATTCGGTTTTGCTATTTGAATGATTTGCATCAATCCACGATGATTATAGTAATGTGTTGATTTTTGACTTGAGATATTGCCTTCTCTTTGTATCTTGTCTTTTAAGTTGAAGTCTTAATGGTAAGTTAATAATCTCTTGGAGACCTAACTTTCTAATGTGGCTTATGTGTGTATAGATTGGGAACAGAATCATAAGGAAGAGGATACATGTGCGTGTGGAGCATGTGCAGCAGTCAAGGTGTGCTGAAGAGTTCAAACTAAGGAAGAAGAAGAACGATGAGCTCAAGGCTGCAGCCAAAGCCAGAGGAGAGACAATCAGTACCAAGAGACAACCTAAAGGTCCTAAACCAGGTTTCATGGTCGAAGGTATGACCTTGGAGACAGTCACTCCCATCCCTTACGATGTCGTCAACGATCTCAAAGGAGGCTACTAGGTTTCCGTTTTCTTATTCTCTCTACTCAGAAGTTTTGTTGTACTCAATTTGTTATTTCGAGCTTCTCCTTCATATTAATTTTCGTACCAAATACTGTCTTGGACAAAGACTTCATAAACGATATTGGCCGGTTGGAGTTTTTAGACCAGATTTTATCAGTTGTCATAATTTTTTCCTGTTCTGAAATTATTTGCCTATTCCATATTCCAGGAGTTCGCGAAAACTTAATATTAGAACTTTCAAATTTCAACCATTTTAATCATTATTTTTAGTATGACATATTTAAATAACTAACTTTTTCCATGACCAATTTTAAAATCAGGAATCTATGCTGATTTGGCCATGTCGTTTGGTCAATGTTTGTTAGTGAAATTATGTCATGCCTAATACAATCAATAAGTTTGTGATTTAAATCATTCAGGCAAAACTTAGTGTTGTGTTTATAATGACCGAAATTTAAAAGCTTGGCATTTAAATGACAAGAACAACTCAAACTTAAAATTTTGCAATGTGAGTGATTAAGAATCTTAAGGTTTTTGAGGTCTATAATTAGCAATAAAACTGATGAAAAACATCTTAACTTAAACTTAACCTATTGAGATCGAGATAATACAAGATTCACTTAACAAAGAGATTTTCAAAACAAAACCCAAATAGTTTAAGATGGTTGGATTACTACAGTTCTCTCCCATAATTTGAAACTCGAATTTTCCAGTAAAATTATAATCATAAGCGATAAATGATCATTGTTTTATGAATTTTCTATTTACTAAACGCAAACCAAAATAATTTGTTATTATGAGAGGTAGAAAAAGTTTTTTTCGTTTATGTTTGGCATCTTTGGAAAAAAAGAGAGTATGAAACGTACACACCACACACAGCAAATCTATAATTATGATTCAGTTATGTAATTATGAAAATTATTGTAATGATGGAGACACTAGTCGCACACAATTAGTCAATAGTCTTCCCTAATTTATAGATTGCACTCAACTAGTTATTTATTTATCACAATCTCAACTTATGTGTGTAGATTTAGGGTTTTATAAGATTTGCATTATTAGAGAATCATTAGATGTGGATAAATTCATGTTCTAATGTTAAACTCAATCTTTTCATTTCTGTTGTTGTTGTTGTGGTGTAATGTAAATTTATTTTACGTTTAAATATTTTTTAATCAGTTTTGATTTACTTGGTTTTGCAGTTATGTAAACTGATGAAATTGAAGTTACTGTTTAGTAAAAAAAAATGCCATTTAAATGCCAAGTTTTTAAATTTTGGTCATTATAAGCACTAAGTTTTGCGTAGACGGTTTAAATCACAAACTTTTATAATGGTTATCTTTTAAATCACAAACGTATGTTGACTGTCCCTATTAGGCATGCCATTGACTTCACTAGTAGACGTTGACCAAACGGCGTTTAGTCAATCTGTTAATGATGTTAATATCATGCTTAAAATGGCCGAATCAACATAAGTTCGTAAAATCGGTTAACAAAAATGTTTGTTATTTAAATGAATCACATGAAAAATGATGTTTAAAATAGCTGAAATTTGAAAGTTCAGGATTTAAATTGCATTTTTTCCTCCAAAGTTCCCAAGGGACGTAGTCAATTCATTTCGAATATGTGGAAACATATGCATTTTCTTTTTTGTTATGCTAACCTGAATCTTCCACTGTGCTTCCTTTTACCTCAACTTTTAATACATACTATTTATAACTCCGGCTTACTCCTTTAGTTCCTGCAATAATATTGACAATTTAGACAAGAAACAAGTGCATTCTGGATTCTTTATGATAAGATAAACTAGTTAAATCAAATTCATTAGCACTAGTTGCAACAAGATTTTTTTCTACTTGTGATTTTAAACAAATTGATCTTTCATGATCTTGTAAGTTTAATAAATATTTTAATACAGCTGTGGAACTATTAGGAACAAATTGAGATAAAGAGAGACTTACCTAGCTAAGACTGAAAGTGTTTGGAGCTTGGTCTGGTGGTTTCTCTTAGATACCTTCTTTTTCTTTATCACTTTCACCAGGCTTGATGCTTAAGACTTTTGTGAGCTCTTTTATATTGTTGGGGATAGGTCCAATATCTAGGGATGACGTTTCTTCGCCAGCTCCAGTTTCTTGAATAAACTCTTCTCTGGACACTCCTGTAACAACCTCAAGTTCTTTTGACAAAAACAAGTGTATCAAACTAGCATTGGAAACTATAAGGTTAAGTTCAAAATTTTCTTCTTCTTTCCTAGTTTCTTTCTTTTCTGTTTCAAGATGTGAAGTTGTATCTACTATTCTAGATGGACATATCTTAACAAGATAACCTCTTTGATGACACCTATAACATGTCATATCTTCTATCTTAGAAGGTTGAGAAGGCTTACATTGCTCTGTTTTGTTGTGGGGTTCATGTAATGAAGTTGAACTTGTCTTTTGTACTCCATCTTGTAGCTTTGAAGATTGGTGAGCATCTTCTGCTGTTACCACATACTTAGTTGGCATCTTCTTCTTATGATTGTTCTTTGGCTTAAGACAGTAATTCTTCTTTTCTTTTGGCTTTGATGTTGCTGCAAGAGCCCATCTTCTTGGCTTAGTGGAGGAATATCTTGTCACATGGTGTTGATTTTGAATAGCAGCTTTCTTCACAAACTCCTCATAGATTTCTACTTTGAAACTCTCCCATATATGAGCTGGATCTTGGTAGTAAACTTTGGCATTCTCCTCTTGTTCCCACCACTCATAAGCTGGCCCAATAAGGGTGTCAAGGGCGTAGGGAAATTGTTCCTCCAATGGCACTTGACTATGTTGAAAACTGGCCTCTATGGCTTCTCCCCACTTTAAGTAATCTTCTATACCTTGGCTATAACCTGAAATGGTTAAGTATTGTGGCCCAAAGCATTCATCTATGGTTAAGTATTGTGGCCCAAAGCATTCATCTTCTTCAGTGCAATGATCTGAGGGCTCTTCTTCTTCAGTCTTGTTGTCTTCTTCTTCACTCTCATAGCCATAGTCATGGTTATCATGTTCTAGCTCTCCACAAGAACTTGATTCTGATGCAATCTCTTGGTTCCAAGGTTCTTCATCATACTGTTCAGTTTCTCCTAAACTGATTTGTGTATCAGTTTCTTCTTCATGTGTGTAAGGCTCCACGAACTGGTCTTCATGATTGAGTTCTCCATGTCCAGCTTCAATTTCGTGGTCTCCTTCTCCTACACTGAATTGAGAATCAGTCTCTTCATGCCATGAGCCCCTTTCATGGTTTTCTTCTAATTCACCTTCATAGTGGCTTGTATATTCATGGCTACAGTCTGGTGGTTCAGGCTTATGTTCTCCAAAACGTGGCTCATCTCCAAAGTCAGAGTCTGAGTAATCATCTTCATGCCACGCTTCTTCTCATCTATAACTGACTTCAGAATCAGCTTCTCCACTCCATGAATCATTCTCATAGTGATCTTCTTCTTCCATTGAGTGTTGGCTGGTCTCTTCCCCCCAATCAATTTCTGAGGTGTTGACTTCACTCCTCTCATCTTCTTCATACTCCAATCAATTTCCGAGGTGTAAAACAATAAAACTAGTTCAGAGTCCTGCTCAACAAGATAGACAAGCAACAAAATATTTCAAGGTAATTGCAAATAAAAAAAATATGGGAAGAACATAATATTTTTTTGATTTATGGTAAACTTTCTATCTAAAAAACAAGAAATTTAATTTTTTTTTTTGACTAACAAATTTTGAAAATTCAAATACAAAAGGAAAATTATTTTTTTGTTGTTTTGTGGTTTATAAAATGAATTAAACAAATAAATGCAAAACAAAGAATTTTTATGGGTTTTCAAAAGTTGCAACAAAATATAAAACAAGGATAAGAAAAGCTTTTTTTTAATAATTTTTATGGTTTTATGAAACACAAATAAAGAGAAACAAGAGAAATTGTTCTTTGTTTTTTTTTTTTATGTCTAGAGATGTAGACGCAGATAGCAAAACCAAACAAATGAAATAATCTTGAACCAAGAATAATTTTTATGATTTTTGATTTTTAGAAATTCAAATAAAACAGTACAGAAATAGAAATAAAAGATAAAGGCTGGTTGAATACAACCTGAGGGATATGAGCTTTTAAAGCTTTGATACTCAAAGATATAAGACTCGGGGGTAAGACTTATAGCAGGTGGAAGATGGAATCTATAAGCTGACTTTCACGCTTACTCTTACTCGGTGGATGGTTGATGATAGAAAAAAGCTTGAATCCACAGGACTTGAGCCGAAATGGAGGTTTGTTGAATGAATCCACACTCAACAGCGAAATACACAACTTCAATCCACAAGTTATTCAATCCGCAAACTCAAAAGAGTATAGTGAATCCACACTAAGACTCAAAAGAAAAACAAACAAAAAGATAACTCACTTTGTAAGAAAAAACTAAAATTTTTGAATTTAAATTCAATGATCAAGTGTGCTTACAACTGAAATACTAAGTGAGCTTATATAATGTTCATTGCAACGTTCTATAAGCTAAAGAAAGAAACAGAATTGACAAAATTAAAGAAAACTAGCCGTTAGGCTTTAAATGCTTAGGCTAAGAGGGAAACTCATGAGTTCTTATATCTTGACAGCTTCTGGATGATTCCATGGCTTGTTATTATTCTAGTAAATCTCTGGAGATGGACCAAATCATAATAAAGCTGTTGGTAAGTGATTGCTCCAAATGTGAATGCTCTGGAAGCCGGATATGGAAAGTGTTGAAGTATGAATGGTCAAGGTAGAATCGGCCTGATCCTCAGGATGCTGGCACAGCTAAGGTCGTATTTTGAGGCTTCTAGATTGTTGAGATTATCTCCTGATCGCCAAAGATATGTTTGCAGTCTCTCAAACTCGGAAGACTCCAAATAAGACAAGTGCAGGTTCCTCCGGTTTAGAAACTTAGAAATTTTCACATCTGAACTGATATTGATGTGAGTCCAATTCTCCCCGGTCCTATGATGAATCAAGACTGCATAAAAATTCTGTTCATATTTTAATTCCTCCTGGTTTGGTGGAAAACCTCCAATAGCCGCTTGAATGTCCAATTCGGGAAGGTTCCGGTTCACCCGACTTTGAACTTGAATAACTCCTTCGTATGAGCTCTGTTTGGACCAAATCAAATTCTTCGCGCGTCTCTGATTTGTTGAAAATTCAAAACAATTGGATTTGTTGCTTGTTTCATCCTGGCTCGTCCGGAATGATATGAT